CTCCCTCCCACCACCTCCTCTCCCCACCCCTCCTCCCCCTCCAGCTGAGACCAACGACTTCATCCTGACCTCCGACAACTCCGAGCAGACCGTTCACATCAGCTCAACATTCGGCGGACGCCGGGCTAGCGTACAGTACGGTATCACCTCCATCCACGCCAGCAACCACCAGCAGAGTGTGGCCATCAACTACGGATATGGCGGCTACGGAGCCAGCCAAGGTTCTTCTTATTCAGGGTATGTTTGGCCTCACAGAGAGATCATTTTGTTTTGTTGTGTTGTTTTGTTTTCGGTTTGGTTTTTGTGTTTTGTTTTGTTGTTGTTGTTGTTTTGTTTTTTTTGTTTTTTGGGGGGGTGGTTGTGTATGTCTTTTTCTTTCTCTCTACTTCCCTGTCTCTGTCTCTTTCTCTCTCTCATTCTCTCTCCTTCTCATCTTTCTCTCTACCTCTCATCTTTCCCTTTCTTTCTTTCTCCTTCTTACTCTCCTTTTCTCTACTTCTCACCTTTCTCTCTACCTCTCATCTTTCTTTCTACCGCTCACCTTTCTCTCTACTTCTCATCTCTCTCTCTCTCTCTCTCTCTCTCTCTCTCTCTCTCTCTCTCTCCCTCAAGACAAAAAAAATTATTTCTTCTCATTCGCCGGTACGTCCATTCTCTCCTTCCCACCCTCTATTCTCATCCACTCTTTTCTATTTTTCGCCCGTCCTTTCCTTCCCACCCTCTATTCTCTTCCATTTTTTTTCTATTTTTCACCCGTTCTTGTCTTCTTACCCTCTATTCTCATCCATTCTTTCCTTCCCACCCTCTATTCTCATCCACTCTTACTCTTTCCTATTTTCCCCCCTCCTTGCCCTCCCTCCCTCCCACAGAAGCAGATTCCAGCTCCCCAACATTTACTTCGACACTGACGTGGAGTTTGACCAGGCTACCGGCAAGTTGACAGCTCGCTACTACGACCTCAGCACTGGAGGCTGGTCTGTGGACAAGGTGAGGGGTTGTTGTTTGTTTGTTTGTTTGTTTGCTTGTTCGTTTGATTATTTGTTATTGTTTGTATTGAGTTTTCTTTTAAAGTTTCAGTCAGAGTTTTACCACCTGTCTGTCCCCGTGGTTTTATGCACCGCGCATAATTTAGGTAATTTAGCAAATTTTGATCATTTTTTGCATAATTTCTGATTATTTTCCTTTCAGAATCGCATAATTTCACTTTTTGGGGCTCAGTTTGCATAATTTCATGATTTTTTTTGCATAAAACGACGGAGACAGACCTGTGGGGAGGGAAGTAGTACATGGGCAATCTACTTCCTCTGTGTCTGCCACCCAGTCAAAGATGTGTCATGCATACTGGTTTAATTAATCATCATCCACTCGATGGACAGCCGAAGAAGAGATGAAAGACAAACCCAAGCTCTCAAATAAGTTTTCTGGACAGACCTCACTGGGAAATTGTTTAAAAAGCAAAGTTGTTCCCGCATCCGATCCGGACATTGGGGATTGCCTTGTTAGTGAGGCAGCTTCCTGGGCCTTCGGCATATTGTGGTAGGGTGGCCAGTTCCTTTCCACGCCGCCTTTACTTCCCCAACTCGAAGTCAGGTACCCATTACTGCTGGGTGGGCAGGAGGGGGCGAAAAAAACCCGTGTCCGAACCGAGGCTCGAACCCAGACTTTCCGCTTCGGAGACGAGGGCATTAACCGCTCCGCCATCTCAACCTCACTGGGAAATTGGTGCCAGTAATTCTCAAAAGAAGTGCACGTGAGTTTTGTTGTCTTGATTTTTAAATCTTTTTTTTTTAAACCAAGCTGCTGTAGGGATATGAATGAGAAGGGTACTGTTTGATTTGTTTGTTTTGTTTTGTTATTCTCTGTGGCTGTCTCTCTATGTCTAGCTCCACATCTCTTTCTCTCTGCCTCTCCCCCACCCTTCTATTCTAAATCTCTCTGTATCTCACTGTCACTCCCTCCCCCTCTATCTTTCTCTCTGGCTCTCTTCTCCCCCCTCCACCCTCCCACATTCTCTCTCTCTCTCTCTCTCTCTCCCTCTCCCTCCCCGTCTCTCGAAATTCCCCACATTCAGCAAGTGTTTCCTTTCCTTGGGTCAAAGGCACGCCCCTTAATGTCTCGCTATATGTGTGTGCGTTTTGTGTGTGTACATGTGTGTATGTGTGTTTGTGTGTGTTAGGGTGTTTGTGTGTGTGTGTGTGTTTGTGTGTGTGTGTATGTATGAGTGAGAGTGTTTGTGTGCTAGTGTGTTCGTGAGTGTGTGTATACGACGTATTTAGAGATTTTTGCGTTTGCATTGGTTTGTATTTGCTTCCCTTTTTGTGTCTGTGTTTATGCGTGTGTGTGTGTGTG